ATTTGTGATCTAAATTTCGAACGCAGTGCGATTAATTTAAAAAGAGTGATCCCGCTAGTTGAAAGTTTTCGCCGGTCGCAGACGCCGAAGAACGGTCTCCGAAGCCGGACAACGCCCTGCGGTGAGTGCGTTCCGTGTTAGTGGGGGAAGGAAAAGGCCAATTAGGAATCCCGATTCAGGCCAGCCGAGACGAGACGAATGAGATAGTGGCCAGGTTCCGCTAGTTAGGGCCTGGCCAAGCTTTTTGGAGTAATCGCGGACTTTTAGGCGAAGATTACGCAATCGGCGCCTCCAGCCGACAGCCACTTAGATAAACCCGTAGTACCTGCCAGAAAAATTACTCGCGCTTAGAGAATTGACTCTAGGATTCGGCGAATTGACTCGATCGAGCGTAATAGCACGTGGTGGAGTTACGTCACCAACTGGATCTGGAAGAGATCGGCGGCTTAGCGCGAAACGAATTCTTACATTTTATGTTGTGTGGTCCATTAATTTAGCTATTTATTTATTAATTTGATTATTTATATATTTTAGTATAATATTTGTTGGGGAGGGGATTTTTATTATTCTTAAAAATTAACTTATTTATTGCACGCTTATTACACTATACTTACGTATGTACATCACTTATTTAAATCAATTTATTTGTTGCCGTACGTGAATAATTCACTGCGAGCGTTCTCATATTTATATATAGTTACTATTTATCACTTGTTACTCCTTCTGGGCGAGGCTTAGGATTTAAATTATCAAAGCCAAAAAACAAAAAAAAAAACAAAAACAAACACAACCGCAATTGTATCCCGGGACTCTTCTTAATCCCACGGGAATCCTATCCAGTGACCGCGCCGAGTAGGTCGCGTATCAATAAAGTCTGGGATCCACTTCAAACGAAACGAAACTTAAAGCAAGTGGTAATAAACCAAAAGTAATCAACCCGGAAAAGAATAAAAGGTAAAAAACAAAGTCCCCTCCAACCTATACTAAGTAATAAGGGAAGTCGCTCTTGCAGCAAAAATGGCTTAAACAAAAGTGAAAAAAAACAGAAGCTCGGAAATAATTCGAGTTCTCGTGTTAATTATAAATTGGTACAATAGGCGCCCAATCTGCGCCAAAATTCCATTTGTTTTTTCAATTTATTTCCTCATTTCTCTTTAATATATGTTGTTAAAGTGGTTTTAAAATGTGATGTTCATATATGCGCATTTTTTGAAGTTAAGCGTGCTTCACCAAATCTCCCGATTTTTCCCTATTTTGTTTTGTCCACTGTGACGTCATGGCCTCCACATTTTGCTGTCTCGCTCCTTGACACGCGGAAATAGCCAGTTTAATAATTTAATTTAATTTAATCATTGAATCGAACAAAAGTGTGAGAATAAATCTAGTTCAGGTAAAAAAAAAATTAAAATAAGTATACTGAAAAAAAAAAATTCGTGCGTGTGTGTGTGTATATATAAATTTATAGCTGCCGGGGAGCATAAGATTCCTTTAAGTACAAATTCTTTATAATACATACTGAAATCCTTTAGTTAAAAAATATTTCACTTGCATTTCTTTAACAGATTTAACACATTTCTTTCAAGGGGAAAAACAAGTTTCATATAACAAACTAATCTTGTTGTTCTCAAATTGCATCTCTAAATATCTAAATGCAAATAGATTCCCGGATTTCCCTCACACCTGTCATTTACACCCAAGTAGAACTCTAATAAAAGCTAGAATTCCAAAAATAAGAAATCCGTGCGTGTGTGTGTATATACGCATTTTTAGCTGACGGGGGAAATTGTATTCGTTTAAATACAAGTTCTGTAAGTACTCAAGGTTGCTTCACATGACCAGCACCCAACAAATCAAGCAGTAGCTAAGTTGGGAACAGTACCAGGCGCTTTATAGCACCCACTGCAGTTGAGAGTTGCTGATCAGCATATTATGTCTCACTACCTCAACGTTCCACCGACTCAACGGCCGATTGACCCGCCAATGCGGTCAGCACATTTTGCAGTATCAGCGGAACCAACTGCGCAAACTGCTACCATAATAAAAATCCCCTTACATACTCTAGAGCATATATCATTTCACTATTAATTAATTTTTCGAGTTCCAAGTAGTATTTAATCAAGTATCAATTATCAATGCAACTTATAACTCCGCGGTTCTACTTCCTATCTCTGGGATTAGCGCTCGTTATACACTATTTCAACTAGCGCAGTTTCCGCATCGCTCGTTACCCCCTTTTCCCACGGCGTGACCCAGAAGTGTCTACTTCGGTTAGGCACAAACAGATAATAAGAACAAACGCCCATTGTAACGCCCACATACCGCCCAGCCCTGTGTCTCCCACATTCCCAAAAATGTAAATTTAAAATAAAATAACATTTATACCTACCGGCTCGCCGAAAATTGTTAAAATCTGATTATTAGTTTATAAGTTATGATTTTTCGGCCGTAGAAAGACAATCGCCAATAACGTCACAGCCAGAAGATACAAGTGAAAACTGTAATGAAAATGTAAAACGCATATTTATTTTAAAGTTAGTTGGCTGAGTCGAGACACACGACTATAGCTTAATTTGGCTGCTCATATACTTAAGCCACAAGACTTCAACCAAAAATTTAAAGGAAAATTAAGAAAAGTTTTTATTTTACAGCTCCAATTTTTTGTGTCACATTAGTTCTATATATCAGTGCTCTAATAAAAGAATAACCAAGTTATAAAATATATATTCAACGAAAAACTTAAAAAATCTGAGACCATCTCCAAAATGTCGTGCTCACATACTTAAGCCACCTGGAACATATTGGTTGAAAAAGTTAAAATTTTCCCATTATTCCTTATATTTTTAATAAATTTACTTCAATATTGAGTTTGATGACCTTGTTGCTTAAGAAGAGCGGAGCAACGCTTTGGCATTGAGTCCACAAGACGTGCGCACTGTTGATGGGTGATTTTCTTCCACTCTTCTTGCAAAACTCGCCACAAATCGTTTTTATTTGCTGGTTTTTTTTGGCCGACGACTTGTTTAAGAATTCCTTACAAGTTCTCTATAGGGTTAAAGTCGGGGCTCTGCGGTGGCCATTGCAAAACATTGATTAAGCCACGACTTGACTATCTTGCTGGTGTCTTTCGGGTCGTTCTCCTGTTGAAATATCCAGGCAAGTGGCAAATTATCGGCATATTCTCCAGATACATTGTTAACAAGGATGTCCCTGTCCATTTCGCCCCCAGACCATAATCGAAGCCCCACCATGTTTAACAGTCTTCTTCGTGTATTTGGGGTCCAATTGTTTGTTGGGAGAACGTCGTACATAGGGACGGTGAAAGCCGTGCATTCGCGGCTTCCTTCCGCCATAGGGATCTGCCAGTATCCATTCTTAAGATCCAGCGTTGAGGTGAACCGGGCGTTCCGTAGCCGCTCCAATATGTGGTTGATTCGTGGGAGTGGGTACGCATCGGGTATGGAATGTGCGTTGAGTTGTCGATAGTCGACGCACATCCGCATATCCCCTGTCTTCTTCGGCACGAGCACCAGCGGGGCACTGTGCGGGCTACGGGAGGGCTCGATTCGGTCGTCTCGTAATAGCTCGTCCAACTGCTGATTGATTATGCTCTGCATGGCGGGGTTCTTTGGATAATACCGCTGCTTTAGTGGCTTATTATCCCGGAGAGTGATGGTATGCTCGGTGATCTCCGTTGGCCCGCTTAGCTCGTCGAAAAGCTGTAGCTCCCCCCTGCAGAAAGTGGGCGGTTTCCTCGGCGTGAGGTTCTTCGGTCACCTGTAGCCTGGTTGGGTCCTCCGCTACAGTGGCCAGGTGTCAGTGGGGACAGTGGCTCCGGAACGGGTTGTGCTTCCGTGCGCTGGCTGCGTCCGACTGGGCTGGCAGCTGATATACACCGATGTGGTTCCCGAGGCCCAGGTGAGGTGGCTGGTTTGCGCGTGTGAGTTTCCACCTTTGTGGTGGCCAACATGGCGCTCGTGGAGGGGCGTCGAAACGGGTTCTTCTCCTTTGCCGTGGCGGCGTCCGCCTGCGGCTGTAGGCCGTACCTGTTCTCCGTGGTGATGCAGGTTCCCGCGGTGTCGCCTGACGGGTTCCTTGACAACGGGGGTCCCGAGGGGTCAGGACTTGTCTTCCGCACTGGCGCGTTTGGCTTTATGTGAGTCCTCGGAGCAGGCTTTGGAACTGTTTTGGTCCCCCCCTCGGTGCCTTGCGATGATTGCGGCGTACCGGGTGTGCTTGGGGATTGCGCGGTTGCGGCCGTAGGAGTCGCCCGCCTATCTGGGGTTGGTTCTACCTTCCGGGTGGCAGGTGGGGCTAGTTGCAAGCAGACTTGCCCGCAGATTAGAGTTGCGCTGATGGCGCAGAGAAAGTCAATTCCCAAAATCACTTCATCCAGGATCGTTGGCAGGACTAGTAGCGACAGCCCGATCGGTCGGTCGTTTAAGCCGACTTGCGCCCGGAGGGCCTTGGCCACCTCTTTCTGGGATCCATCCGCCATAGAGATGCGGGAGCGTACTTCTCTGCTGTTTCTTCCTGAGTCTAGGCGCTTGGCGATCGCTTCGCTGACAAAGCTTCGCGAGGCTCCTGTGTCAATTGTTGCCGAGAAAGGTTGTCCCTCGATGGTAACATTGGTACTCCGGCATCAAATTCTCGTAGATCCGCTCGAGCTCCTGGTCAAGTGAGTACTTGGCGCGTTGCATCATCAGGCGTAATTCCACTACGTATATTTTGAAGAGCTCGCCCACTTGTTGTTGCCTGGTCCGGATGGCATCTTCTAGGCTCTGGTAGTACCGCGGAGGCAAGAAAAACTCCAGAAACTCTCTCCGGAAAGTTTCCCATGGCTCGGTGTGCATTTGGTATGCCCGGTACCAGCCTTCGGCGCGGCCTGAGAGAAGTCCAATGACGGCCCTCGGTATGTCACTCGTTCTCACATTGTAGGCAGTGGCACCTTCCTCGATGCGTTCTATAAAATGAACGGGGTCTGACTGTCCGTCAAAAAGTACGCCCCATCCTCGCAGTTTCTCGGCGAACACGGCCGTGGATATAGGGCTGTGCGGAAGATGGGCGGCTGGGTTGGCGGCCGGTATCTCCCGTCCAGGGCTTTTCCGTATGTTCCCTAAGCAGGGCACGGGAAGCGTGTGATCCTCAATTCCGGGCATCGGTGAGGTGGCCCGACTGGTGGACGTCCTCTGGGTGGGTGCTTCCGGGTATATTGCCTCCAGTGCGGCAAAGCGCTCTCGTAGAGCTGGGCTGTGGTCTCCTCCTCCGATGAAGGATGCCAATCGTGGTCGTAGTTCGTCTACTTGGCCGTTCGGGTCAAGTCCAAACTCTTTTAGCAGAGCCTGCAGCTCGTCCTGACCCCCATGTTTGCGGTCGTGGAATCACCCCCGGATGCGGTAAAAAACCGGTCCTCTTCCAGTCCGGCAGCTGCCGGATCTGGCTTTGATTCTGCGTCCTCTGACTTTTTCTTTCCCGAGACACTGGGCATACGCGCGGTGGCGCTGCCGATGGCCCTGCTGGGGATCACTCGGTGAGCGCTCCTAGTGGCGTGACTGGGCGCTACCAGGGGCGTGATGCGGCGGGCGCACGGCAGGTGCTGCTGACGTGCGGCAGTGGCTGACCGATGTGGTTGCGGCTGGCGCTCCCGTTGGCGCTCGGTGAGTGCGGCTGGTGAGCGGCGGCGCTGCTGAGGGCGCGGCTGGGCGCTGCTGTGGGCGCGGTGATTGGCGCTCGGTTGGCGCTGCTGAGGGCGCCTGTTGGGCACTAACGCCGCTCGATGGGCGCTGCTGATGGGCGCTGAACGCTGCTGAGGGCGCGGAAGCCGCTCGGTGGGCGCTGCTGAGGCTGGCGCTCCGGATGGCGCTCGGTGAGCGCGGCTGGTGAGCGGCGGCGCTGATCGTTGGGCGCTCCTGATGAACACGTGGGTGGGCGCTTCCCGTAGCGCGACTGACGCGCGGCAGCGCTGATCGGTGTGGTGAGCGCTCGGTTGGCACTGCTGTTGCCCTGCTTGATGGCGCTCGGTGGTAGCCGCTCGTAGGGCTGTGCGTTGGGCGCGGATGCCGCTGAGGTCGCTGCTGGTAGCGCTCGGTGGGCACTCGGTGGGTGCTGCTGGTGGTGCAAATGACGCCGCCCGATGGGCGCTGAACGCTGCTGAGGGCGCGGGGCCGCTCGTTGCGCGCTCCTGGTGACGCTCGTTGTGTGGCTGGTGACCACGTGTCCGGCGCGGTTGGCGCTGCTGTTGGCGCTGCTGGTGGCGCTCTGTGGGCACCTGATGGCCACGTGGGTGGCACTGCACGGCGCGGGAAGCTGCTGGGTCTGCGCTGCTGATAACGCGGCTGGCGGCGCGGGTGACGCTGCTGAGGGCGCGGTGGTCGCGCTGTGCGTGCTCCTGGTGGGCACGTGGGTGGGTGCCGCTGGTGGTGCACTGACGCCGCTCGCTGGGCGCTCGTTGGGCGCTACTGGGCCGCTCTGTGGGCGCTGCTCGGGGAGCGGTATGCGCTTGACGGCTTCGTGGGAGGCCACGTGGCTCTGTGGCGCTCCGGGAGTGGGTTGGCGTTGGCGGGCGGAGCGTTACGGGATCCCCTACTCTAACTATTCCTGCGGTCTCCTATCTTTCCCTAAATCTCATCTACTGGACATAGGTCTTTAGGCCTTGCGGTTGGTGGTAAAAACCCAACTCTCCTGAAGGATATCTAGTCGTCCTTATTCGTCCCTGTTCGGGCGCCAAACTGTAAGGACCTTTTTCATGGGCTGGGATAAAACTCAGTCCGGCCAGGGTCCTCTACAGTTAAATTTGTAGAAAAGTATTGGGACGAAACTGGACGGGGAGTTGCCGCGGGGATTTGTGGGGAAAGGAGGCCAGAGTATCCGCGTTGCACCGAGTAAGCAGCTCTAGCGCAACCCGGCACCCGAAAGGTATAGTGGAGGGCGGGGCTGCTCCCGGCGAAAATACTAACGAGACGAGCGGCGTAGCCGATCCCTGAGAAAATATTAACAAAACTGGACGGCGTGGCCGTTCCCCCTGGATGTGCGACTCACAAGCTACTGGGGTAGGGGGTAGGGATCCGAGGGGAGGATGGCCGGAGGCGACCCTTCCCTGTGCTCCCTGTGGTCGATCGAGTGGTCGTTTGCACTGAGTAAGCTTCTCTGGCGCAACACGATTCCCGACCGGCACAGATCACTGCACTTGGCTCGCGACTACCTAAACCGTATTTGGGGCGGGGTTCCCAGGAGAGGGTGGCCAGAGGCGATCCTTTCCTATGCTCCTTGTAGGCGATCGGGTGGTCGTTTGCACTGAGTAAGCTTCTCTGGCGCAACACGATTCCCGACCGGCACAGATCACTGCACGTGGCTCGCGACTACCTAAACCGTATTTGGGGCGGGGTTCCCAGGAGAGGGTGGCCAGAGGCGATCCTTTCCTATGCTCCTTGTGGGCGATCGGGTGGTCGTTTGCACTGAGTAAGCTTCTCTGGCGCAACACGATTCCCGACCAGCACAAATCACTGCACGTGGGTTCCCGAAAAATGCACAAATTCACACGGACACATACTTTCTCATTCTCTCTTGTCTTTATTATTCGCTAGTACTACTACTACTACCCCTACTCGCACTCAGTCTGATCGCTATTGTCTGTCCCACTTACTCCTTGGATCCGGCGTGCCGACGCTCGTGCCGCTGTACCACTCCGGGTTGAAGTCCGCTCCTAGGTCTGATCGCCTTGGCTGCCATTCGAGAATGAGAGCGAGCTTCCGCCCTTGCGGCCGCATGTAGGCCCGGCTTGCCGGGTTTCATCGTTTCCCAACACAGTTTCTTATCGAACCTTCCGCCTATCGCTATCGGCACTATCAGCTGTTGGCCCTCGGTTGACCAACACTGGGTGGTTTTTCCGGCCCTGGTGCGCGCAATATTTAAATCGGATGAGCTTAGCTTCTAGTTTGAACTTAAATAAATTGCCTTCGTGGCGTAAGGACTTATATTATAATTATATTATATATTATAACATATAAATAAATGGCCTTTGTGGCGTAATCTCCAATTGTATGCCTTCGTGGCGGAAAGAATAGAAGTGGCGAAATGTGGAGGGTGTGTTTCACGCAGCCTCACAAAACAACGGAGACATAATTTGTTTCATATTATTTTCCCACCAATTTTCCGATCGTTCCTATGGCAGCTATATGATATAGTCCTCCGATTTTGATAAAATTAAATTCGAAATTCAGAACTAATTAAAAAATTATATTTCCAAGCGTAGGTTGTATGTTAAAAAACACCAAAGATATCATTTTTAAATATTTGTTTTTGCCGATTATTCCTGTGGGACTTATAAGTTATAGTTGTCCGATCCGGCTGGTTCCGACTTATATACTACCTGCAAAAGAAAGAAGACTTTTGGGAAAGTTTCAGACCGATAGCTTTAAAACTGAGAGACTAGTTTGCGTATAAACGGACGGACAGGCGGACAGACACACATGGCTAGATCGACTCGTCTAGTGATGCTGCTAAGAATATATATTCTTTATGGGGTCGAGAACGTCTCCTTCACTGCGTTGCAAACTTCTGACTGAAATCATAATACACTCTGCAAGGGTATACAAATGGGTATTGCCTTCTGGTGTGTATGAGCTCTTCCAGACTCCTAAAGCTCACGCTATCCTTGTGGAAGCAGTCCCTCCATAATATGGCAGGGAAATGGAACGACCCAACGCATCCGCCTCCAACTCAGCGTCTTGAAGAATAAATTCTTACGAGGCGAGAGTAGCACCCAACCCAAAGGGTGTAACCTTTTTAAAAAGGAAAGTCATCTGGTCTGCACATGTGCATGGTGTCGGATCAGGCATCTTTGTAAATAAAGCTTAATAGGCTTATAAAAGTATCGGTATGTTGTTATTGCCTTCGTTAGTCTCAGCCGACTCTATTTCGGTTGTTCGACTTCAACGGACCCAGCTTATATTCGGGTCTGTAGATCGAGAGCTTTCGCCCCGCCAATTATATGAGACGGGTGGTACTCTCGTCTCTTATCTCATTGCATACGCACAGTATATTGTCATTTCTTTCAGTTTAATTTCCACTGGGTAATTGCGAAAGCACTCTTAATTGCTTCACGTGCCGCAGCCGCCATCACACCCTACTACACTAAGGCAACCCATTCACAGCGTACTTTAATCCAACTCCTACGCCTAGATCGAGACCAACTAACCAGGTTCCTCACAGAATCACAGAGTTCACAGTGCCCCAGATCTATCCTGCTAGGCAAGGTCAATACTAATATCTATCATCTGTGCTGCAATTTTCAGCCTCGTGCCTTAACAGACTCAGGATCTGTAACAACTATCATAGCCGAACGCCGTTTTTACCGAATCAAGTTGCCGTTGCAGGAAAACCTCCCATCTTGTCGATTCCCCCACATTTTCATCGGTATCATCCCGACTTTCCACTGGCGGATCCGAAGTTTCTTGAAATCTCTCAAATAGCCCTTTAGACCGGGGTCGGAATTCTGCCTTCCTTACTCCCATGCAGTAACAGAGAGAAAATTTGTTGTTCTCTTTTTTCGTTGAAGAGACTATTTTTTAATGCGATTTTAGAGGACCAAATTTCCGGCCCTAGACAAAGTTCTCACTGCTCACAGACGAAAGCGGCGGGTATTTCGTAAGCCTTTCGTTTCGTGATTCTGAACAAGTGGCGTTTGCCCTTGGATACTGCAGATCCTTCGCATTAGCTCAGTTCTTTAGAAACGAGCCACGACTAAAAAGAGACAGTCAGATGAAAACTAAGTATGACTTGGTGATGCAAGAATATCCCGATCTCAACAAAATTAGAGATGTCTTCCCTACCCACGATTCAGCGAAATACTACCTTCTATATATTATGGCCGAAAAGTACGACCACTAAGCTTCGCGTGGTATTCAATGCCTCAAGCCCTTCACAGTACGTGGTTCATCCATTACAGTCCAATGTATCGGCAGATCTGGGTAGATGCGAAGCATACCACGTTCCAACGCAAGGATACAGATTTGTAGTTAAAAATGGTCACCTTTGGAATAAACTCTGCGCCGTTCCTGGCGATTCGGGCTCTGCAACAGCTGGTGACTGACACCATAAAATAACGAGCAATGATTTTCTCAGTTGCATCAGATCCACGACCGCACTCTTACGAAATCTGAACACTTAGATGTTTCCCGATCAACAGCCGGAGCACAAGTGACCGGTATGGAGATGCGGCTCTGCTTATAAAGGCCCTAGTTAGTGGTAAGTGTGACCAGATCAGGCGACGGTTATCGGGTACTCAGGATTGCGATCGATTGTTATCGTGTGCCTAGGGTGGCGATAGATTGCTATCGTGAGCCCGCGTATTTAAAATAGAAACCACTTGTATGTTTATGTTTTGTTTTACTGTTTTATTGTTTATTGTGGCGGAGGGCCGTCACAAGATGCCAGCCAGTGGATGCTTGCAAAGTCAATAATCTTATCTCTCAAATAACTGTCAACCGTTCTTCGTTTTGCGGTCTACTCACTACCACAACGGAAAAACCGATGCACATGTGATCTTGTTTTTGTTTTCGGTTGACTGTTCTCAGTTGCGTGGTTCTTGTTATGCTCATTCAACAACAACTTCGAGATAGCGACCCGAGTGAACGCTCGCACATTAAGAGTCAGCAGATGAGCGAAAAAAAGATTGTCTCATCGAAAACGTTTTTTGATTTTATTGCTTATTTCTTTTGGTCTTAAGTGCCTTTTTAACCATGCTTAGCAACAACTTTAAGATATTTATTAGGTCTTCTCATTACATTTATTATTTATTCAGTATTAAAATTAACAACAGCCTAACGACCCATTTTTCCCGGCAACTAAAACAATCCGAGGGCACAGAATCCACAAAAGCAAGTGTTGTTTACAAGCGGACGGATCACTTGCATATGCACGCATACAAATGGAAAAGACTTTTGTTTTCTTCGCTCGCCGCAAAATAGTCAGCGAATGAGAAGACCAAAAAGGAAACGCGAAATTTGCAAGCTCGGGTTGCATGTGTGTAGACGATGAACTTCCAAGTGATTCCAATACTCTGTCATTCCAAGGTGGGTCCCCTTCAGCCCAGAATTCCGCGTAGAGCAGCATGGCGTACACACATTGATGGTGTACCTACTCACAGCTAAGACGCGGGTTGAGTCAGTGAAAACTGTGTCGCTTTCAAGACAAGAGCTCTGCGGGGCGTTGGTGCTAGTCGAATTGGCCGAAATCATCCTACCAGTATGTCAGTGCTGACCTCGGAACTCCATTGCTGGACCGACTCCAGTAAGCCAAGTCGGCTTGCCAGTGTAAGACGTTTGTTGCCAACAGGGTGACAAAGATCACCACAGGGGCAGCCCAGTGGTCAGACGTTCAATCCGAACACAATCCAGCAGATTAGCCTAGTCGGGGAGTCCCCCTTCAGGACATGATCGATAACTCTCTTTGGTGGCAATTACCATCCAGGGTACCGACTTACTTAGCACCTAGTAAGAGAAGCGCAAAGTCCGAGCTCACGCGGCTTCTGTCCGACCGGAAAGTATTCTAATTCTCGAGATTGCGGCCGCGGCCCTAATTACTTTGCCACTAGCGTACGCTAGATATTCTTTGAAAGACAACCGGCGGTCGATCATGACACCCAAGTATTTTAGGCTTTGTCGAGATGTAATTGTGGCTCCTCCAATTTTGACAGTAGATGTCTCCGTTTTCATTCTGCTACTAATCAGAACTGCGTCAGTCTTGTGCGCTGCCAAGACAAGTCGCGCCCCTTCAGGCATTGTGGTCCTAAGGATCCCATATTACATGGCATTCCACAATTATGCACCTAGAACTACCACACTGCCTCTGTGGATTGCGTTTCATACAGAAGAACCCGGTCTTTGAAATAAATCGATACTACTCTCTGTATATAAATTGGAACATTTAGGTTACTCAATGCATTGAATGTGTGGTGCCAGCTAGCGGAGTTGAATGCGTTTCTTACATCCAACGTTGCAGCTATGCAGTAGGGCTTAGAGCCGTATAACCACCTTTTAACCTCAATGACCTTGTCTGCGATATAGCACAGTTTGCTGACGTCATTGATTGTAGATAGATATTTCCGAAAGCCATACTGCATCCCTGAGAGACCGTTGATTTCGGCAAGGGAACCTTCGAGCCCAGAGTGGATTATTCTTTCGAGAATTTTATTCATATTATCAAGCATGCAGTTGGGCTCCTCCTCTCTCCTCTTTGATATCAGTACCAGCCGCTGCGTTTTCCAGCGATTAGAAAGAACACCCTCTGTTAAGCATGTGTTAGCTTTTAGCTGCGAAACTCTCGAGTAGCGCTTGTCGCTTCGCATTTGTCCGGGAAGATCACCAATCCGTGACCCAAGCATTAAAGTCCCCGGCAATTAGGACCGCGTCTTCCGCAATATGTTCTTTTTCAGATATCGCTTCCAGGAGGCTAAGGCTCGGCGGCAGGTAACAGCTATATAAGGCTATACAATTCACACGGGCCCTAGTGAAGCGATTCCCGTTTTTTGCTAATTTGAAACCTTAGATTGCGGAAGCTCCATATTCCAGATTGTTTGCTAGTATTTGCTAGCCATTCGTCGGAATTTTATACCAGTTACTCGTTAAGTAAAAGTGTATACTAGATTCATCCAAAAGTTTTAAACAGGTCGAAGGAAGCGTTTCAATTAGGACCGGTCGATTTTCCGAGGCGTTTTCCGCAGTCTGTTCTAGTACAGATATCGCTTCCTGGAGGCTAAGGCTTAGCG